ATGCCCTAAAACTGTCTTTTAGAATAACATGAAATATGGACTAGTTTTATTCTTTTCACAGTTTCAAGATTATTATCTTATAATAAAAAATGAATTATGTCTTCTAAAACCTAATAACAACCTAATGCATGTTTAGTTGCACATAAGCAAACCGAATTCTCCAGGATTTTCCTTAGAATATGTGCTTGCACCCTCGGAGCTACTGTGCCCAGTCTTTTTTGGTATTTGTAATTTGTTGAACTGCCAAACATTTTAACAGCAGTTGAAAAAACTCTGCACAACTGACTTAGCTATAAATAGGTGACAGTTGTAAAAGCCCTGAGCAATCTGAATTGCTTGGAAATACAATTGTGCTTTCTCAAGACTGGAGTAGAAGATAATCCATACAGGACAGATCGCTTTCTGTGTTTGATACTCGTGGACATGCGTACATACATCAGAGGCAACAGAGTCTTATTATTAATTAGAATGACTCTGCTTACCAGGAGACACAGAGAGCTCTGCTGTGGCACACCATCCTTGCCCAACTGGTTTACTGATGAAGCTGTCTATTGCGTATGGAACCTCTTCCTGAAATAATCTAACTCAGCTTTAACAGGACACAGGACTCGTGGTTGCCTTTTAAGTGCAGTCACCCCATTAATAAAATGATTGGCAGCTGCATGCATTGTAACCTTGCTTCATGAAATATGTGTCTCGTTTCTTACTCATCATGAGTGCCATAAACCAAAAGAGATAAATTATAGAACCATGAAACTCTGGCTTTCCAACTTGTCAGAGCAAACTGGCTTTAAGTTTTTTTAAAAAAACAAAAAATTAATCTTGTTCTTCCTTAGTAAAAGTGATTTTTTTTCATCAAGATTTGATCTGTTCATATTTCACTTGTTCAGAGCCTTTTATACCAGCCTCAGTAACTGAAATGACCCGCCCTACATTCAGAGTCTGTAGAGGCTCATGGTCTTTATCCAACTAGTCTGGGTTTGAGGTCACTGTATGGGCTCCTCTTAATAAGAACCAAAGTCACCACGGATTTAGAGCCAGTGTTGATCCAGACATGTGGTTCTAATGTTGAATTGGCTGACACGATGACACATTTGTCAGTCTATGACTGTCATTGGCAGCTTGTATTAAATATGAGTCTAATTAATTTGGAATGTCAAGCCTTACCATTTGCTAACAAAACTAAGAACAATGTATAAAAAGTCAGTGCATTGTGTGGTATACAGTGAGGGTGGCCGTAGCACTCAGGAAGGAGCTTCCTCCCCATCACCGACCCAGACATACTTCTGATTTAAAAGTGAGTTCTGTTTTGCAGATAGCACTATTTTAAGCGTTTGCAGCACAGAAGAGACTTTGCTTTAAAAATAATCTTGCCCCTGCCCCCATAGTAATTATGTTCAGTAGTTTATCCTGTCTTCCAAAGCTACCTACCATGAAAGGAGAATATACCCCCTTGCAATGTTCCCTCTAAGGTGCATGCACACACAGAGAGCGCTCCACCAAGGCTGCTAATGGGCACCTGATTTGTTTACTTCCTGTTTCAGATGAAGCCCCACCCCTCTGCATGCGGATGGGGTGAGGCTCCCGCATAGCGGGGATGAAAACTAGAAGGAACATTGCCCCCTTAAAATAGAAACAACATAGCAATAAGGTAAGGGTTATGGGGGACAAACAGTTTACCTTCCCACAGGCAAAATCTGTAAATGTACTTTTCGCCCGTATTCACATCTTTAAAATTTTAATTTTGTCTTTCAAGTCTATGCATAAATTTGCTGATTTGGGGAATTATTTGCCAAAAACAAATGAATAAAATTCCTTGGTGGATTTGCAGAGCAAAATTATCATCCAGTGCTACCTGCACCCTCCAAGGAAATGTCAGTGTTTATCTTTTGGTATTCTTATGAATTCTTTTTGTATATCTCTTGATTTCAAGGTCTTTAGTTTCCCAGCAAATACATTATTAAAAATGTCCGAGTTGGAGGTGGAAGCACTGGTTTCTTTTGGTTCTTACTTTGGTTCTTATGATTCATTTTGTAGTAGCTTGAACCATGTCTGCACATGAATCACATTAAATTGGAAAGTTTCACGTTTTCAAGAAGCAGGCTTCTGTTAAGCTTCCACTGCCCAAATCATCATAGACATCCACATTAATAACATAAGTTACACTGTTGTAAGAGGCTACAGCACACTTCCCAACTGCCTGCACATCTTCCTTCCATCCCTCTCTTTTATGCGCAAGCATAATATTCAGTTCCTCACATTTTGGATTTTTGTTCTTTCAGATTGACATAGTGCTGCTTTGAAGGGCTGATCAGCCTCCCTCAGAGCTAGGAACAGTGTCTTTAAAAGTAGATAGCTAAACATTCTAGAAGGGAAAGGACATTGGGACATTGTAATTGTCCCAAGAAAAACAGGGATAAGAAGAAATCAAACTGACCAGTAAACAAGGCAGTCAGCATTGCAGCCTCAGCATGTATGTGACAGCTCTAAACTTGACAGGCAGATTTACTGAAAAATTGTTTGGAGGAGCCTTCGCGAATACATTGTTTGGAGGATCGACTACAGGTTTTCACAGGAGATCGTCGTGTTTTAGTTCTTTCTTTTTTTCTTTTTTTAAGAAAAAGAACTGGAAGGTGACTGTTCCCAAAACTGTAGTTTGGAGTGAATTTGGTTCCAGGGCAGGAAGTGTGTGGATTGAGAAGAGTGGTGAACATGGTGGGAAAGGGAGTGGAAAGAGCAGAGAATAAGCCAATGCAATTGATGGTAGAGGAAGATGAGGCAGGGGTGTGTGGTTATGAGAAATGTTTCTGATTTCATCTTCTATGTGGACAGGGCATCAGCGTATTCTGAAATAAAGGAACTCAAACCTGTGGATTTGCAGAGCAAACAGTATCCTTTAGAGTGGCGTCCAACCTTGGCCTTCCAGATGTTCTTAGACTTCAACTCCCAGAAATCCTGGCTAGCAGAGGTGGTGGTGAAGGCTTCTGGGAGCTGTAGTCTAAGAACATCTGGAAGGCCAGGGTTGGAGAAGCCTGCTTTAGAATCAGAAATTTTTTTAATCCCATTGCAATTTTACGACTTGTGTAATGGAGCCAATAACTGATTATTGGATATGGAACAGGATTGTCAATAACCAGTTGTTTACATTGGGTCAGTGGGGACAACCTGTACATTGCAATGCTCACTATACCTGAACATTGCCTACATTGGTTAAGGCTGATGGAGCTCGCATTAAAAAAAAAAAGGTGGAAAATACACCTCTGGCATAGATAGTAGGCAATAATTATGCAACCTTTCAAGCCTTAACTGTGACACAGTGAACTTTGGTTTGAATTTGTGGGCGAGCAGCCAGAGGAACACTTTGCTATGAACTCCATACTCAGCACTTAGTCCAGCAAGTTACATCTCTGTGCTGAAACAGCCTTGGGGGATTAATTGACTTCCTTGCCATTGCAGGGAAATTCTGAACTATTTGAACATTCCAGTGGTTCCCAAACTTGGAGCCCCATATATTCTTGGAGTGTAACTCCCAAAAGCCTGAGCCAGCACAGCTGGTGGTCACAGCTTCTGAGAGCTGTAGTCCAAGGATATCTGGGACCTCCACGTTTGGATATCCATTCCCCTTGGGCTAAATAGCAACCCACCAAGCATTTGCCAGGGGTTATCCCACTGAACACAATGACCAATATGCACTCAGCTCCAACTATGGAAGCTGCCATGGCAAAATGAAACTGAACAGATACTGCCCAGCCCTGCCATAGGTAACCAGGGCAGCTTCTGCAGCTGGAGCTCTGCACACATAAATATTGAACAGGATACTGGCCAAGGCAATTCAAGTTGTATTCCAAATAAATATTCAAATAGACTGTGTGTTAGTTTAACTGCAGAGTCCTATGCATTTTTTTAAATTCAGAAATAAATCCCACTGTCATTAATGGGGCTTATGTCTAGCTGAATATATATTTAAGGATTGCAAGCCAAATCTAATTATTTAAATTTGTCTGGCTTATGGAGAAAATTGCTAAACATAAATGCAAGCCCAGGTTTCAGTCATGGATTAGATAGGCTACTTATCCTAATTTAAAAGGGACATGATTGATGAATGAGTGGCAGTTGTCTTTAACATTTTGTATACTTCGTGAAACAATGATGAGCGGCATGCATTCCATTTGAATTACTGTTGTTCAACACATACTGAACACACACCATCATTTTATAAAGCCATTCATTCTTCTCTTCCTGTCATTTTTAAAAAAGAGGGATGTGCCCTGGTTAATGGTGAGAGTTGTATGATGTGGAGAGGATGAGTTTTTAGTTCTTTTAATTCTTTCTTCCTTTTTCAACCAGGTAAACTCTGACTTGGATATTCCTTGTTGAATTTTCTGTGTGTTCTGGAATATAAGCTACAAAATTGAAATGTAGACACTGCTGCACTGTATTTGCTGTTGTTTTAAAAGAAATGTTAACGTTCAGATTATTCTGGGGGGAAAACCTGGTATGATACAATGCACTATTTTTCATAAGCTTGATGCTGAAGTTTTGTTTTCATGAACTCCAAAAGCCCTTTTTCCAAACCCCCATGCTTGAATTTACCCATTGTGCAGACATCTATCAAATGGGCCATCAGTAGCAGTAGACATATGGTAGTACATCCAAGTTAAAAATTTTCCTTTGATTACTACAAATCCATAGAGCCCTTGGGTCCAGAGCTTCTGCTGCAGTGCAGCTATTTGCAAATAGATTTTTATAGCACATTAGAGCTGAAGGAGAGTCCAAAGAAAATAGTCTTTTTCAATATTAGAACCAGCTGTGACTTTCTTGTGTGGATGACTCATTCATATTTTTTATGGGGTGGGAGAACCAGGCGAAGGACACACAGAGTCTTATTCAAGACGTTGTTTGTTTTTGCAAAGGGTATCCTAGCCACAAGCCAACTTGATCATACCAATGTGCAACTATATGTTTATTCAAAGCACTTTCTTTTTTTTTTCTTTCAACAGTTCCAATTATAAAAACAGAACCCACTGACGACTATGAACCTGCTCAAACCTGTGGACCAAGGAACCAAGGATTAAGCCCTCTCTCCAAAGCATATTACAGCCAGCAGATCATGATGCCTCCTGATCCTGGCTCGTGCCTTGTGGCTGGCTTCACTTCCTGTCAGCAAAGAAACACTGTGATGTCATCGTCTCCCAGCTCAAGCCCTAAGCTGCATGATCTTTCCTCTCCTGCTTACAAGTGCATCAGCAACCCAGGCCACAACCACCTAGGACTTCAGCAGACCGTTGGAGGTGTCCCCACCATACAGGAAGTGCCAAGATCTATAGTTGTGCACCCAAGTTCTCCAGATCAGTCATCTCACATCATGCTGCAGCCGCAGGTGAGTCAACAACTGAGCAGTAGCTGTTCCCTTGGTTACCAACAAACACTCTATCCCAACAGTCCCTCCTCTCCAGTTCCATCTGTAACCCAAGAGTCAACCTATTTGCAGTCCTGCAGTCCAACTCACTCATCCATAATGGGTCAGCAGCAACTGCCGAATGTTCAAAGAATTGAATCTCCAGCAGATCAGCCACTGTCGTTGCCTGAGTTGCATGAGGACAATAATCATAATTTGGCCCCTATTCCTGTAACGATCAAGCGAGAACCTGAGGAATTGGACCAGTTATACCTGGATGATGGTAAGTCTCCTGCAGATGAAGAGGTTTGTCATTTGATGTGCCCTTGAGTTCTGTTAACATCCTTAAGCATTCCAATGGGGGAAAGCTACCCATTAACAGCCTTGTGGAATGGTGCAGAATTCTGCTTGGGTGACATCTGTATGGGACAGATTCCTTTAAAGCTCTCAGCAGTAATGGAAGTGCATAATCGAAATATTTAGTGCTGGTAGTCATTTTGGAATTATCTGCATGTCCAATAGCTACATTGCAGTAATCTTAACCAAATGGTCTTGGCTTCTGTCTATGCCAGTGACTTGCAGAACGGCTTGAAAGCTGACTTGAAAATGACCCCCTGTCCATCATGTGCTGCAACTGGCAATACACGTTTCTGCTAACTGGAATTAAATGACAAAACTGCTCTCTTTCATCTAAGAAAGTCCAAATCAGAAAGTCATGTCTTTTCACTTCCTGGCATCTGAAGTTAAAGCTAATTCCCTCTTCTACATCTCCAGTTCCATAACTGTACATTTGCAGCAGGCCTTTTAGTAAGAAGGTCTATCTCTCTCTCTCCCCTCTCTCTCTCTCTCTCTCACACACACACACTCACTCACTCACTCAATCACACACACACACACACACACACTTTTGTTCAGAATTTGCTGCTACGATATTAAAATACTAGAGTAATCCTGTCACAGTCCCAAAGATTTATTCATTTTAGAGTCAAGGATGAAATCTAAAATTTTTTTGTTAAATGTTAGTATTAACTCACTGAATAATAATAATAATTTTTTTATTACGGTCATTGACCAGCAAAAGTGGGAAACATTATTTAAATTAGGAAACATAAAATCAATCTAAAAACGCTAAAAATGTCTATTTACACCTATATAAAACTACATGCATACATCTTATTAGATATCTCCTGCCTCCCTACCATAGGTCTTATCTATGGGCTATTGCAGCGTACATAGAATGACAGAATTGTTACTTTGAAGCTCATAGAGCCCACGTGATCATTAAGGCCTCTACATGTATACACCAATTTACAGATACTATAGCTGCACTTTGGGTGGAACCTTTCCTTCATGGATTTTGATTGCAGCAGCATGGAATTTAGCTACTTTTGTCAGCATATCTGAATTTTGGTTTAGCCCAGTATATCTGCCAGGGCATCACCCTGTCAGCAAAAGCAGCATGTAATGTGCCCCTGATCGTCCAGGAAATGCCCTTATGTAAGGGTTAACAAGGACTTCTCAACTGCCAGAATAAAAAGCACAATAAAGTAACACATGGGAGATAGTTTTGATCTCACCAGAGTTACAGGGGCATATATGCTGAGTGTAAGGGGTATTGTTTTACTTCCCTTTCTGGACTGCTGATGGAAGTGCATTGAAGCAGGCCAGAGTAAGAGCTTTGCATTTTTTAGGTAAGGGTAAGTAGAGATATTTAGTCAGTTTGGGTGGGAGCAGTGCGTTGTCAAGTGTAAACCTATTTCTGATAATACCAAGGTCCTGCTGCCTTTCTGTCCCAATAATATGCTGCCTAAGATTACTCTTGGCCTTAACATATCCCATTTGTTGGATGTTTTCCACTGAATAGCTGTATCTGTTGATTTTATGGTATATTGCTCTCTTCCAAGGTGACTGATGGTTATACTGTAATACCAGTGAAGTCAGTACAATTGGTTGAAAGGTTAGTTTTAGCCAAAAGTTAAAAATGGCCAGCCAAACTCTGGCTTCAACCTTCAGGTAGCCCACTTCAAGCCTAAGGGCTGCATTGGATACCCCTCTTGGAACTTGTAATATAGCCCTCACGAATTTGGATTGAACTACTTCTAACTGGATAAACGAAGAATAGGGACCTGTAACGTGGCTGAGCCACTCTGAGGTCACCTCCTACTCAGGCCTCTCAGAATGCCCACCACGCCACTACACACTCTTGCTGCCACCAACCTTTCCTTTAAATCAAAAAGGACAAGGGTTTCTTCAAACAAAAGAATTTATTGATTTGTACAAAATAAAAGGAGTAAATCACTGGTATAGAATCAAGTTGTCAATCACTGTTACTAAACCACTAACTCACACAGACTTTCCCTCACTGACACTCAGGCATGCAGGCCCCTTTCTCTCACACACTAGATCTCTCCAGATCTCACTCTCTCCCTCAATCACTCTCCCCACACACACCTTCACCCCCCTTTTTATACCAGCTCCTCCCCTTCAGTTCCACCCTCCGTCACACCATTGGCTGATGATTCACTTCCCAGCTGTGACGGACAGGTGAGGTAAAGGCTGCCTGTTACAGGACCCAATTGTGCCCCATACAAGAGCTGACTAAGGGATTTGGCCTGAAACAATCTTAGTGCAGCTGGAATGTACTCACCTCCCTTTGAATACTGTAGAAGAATTTTAGTATAGCAAGGCTAGATTTTTGTGCTGCTTGTACCACATTGTTAACATGGGCCTTGTGGTTTCTTTTATATTTGAAAGCAACACCCAAATATTTATAAGCTTTAATTTGTTCTATCTCATGCTCATCAATTAACCACTTATAGATCCTGGGCCTCTGAGTGAACACTAAAACTTTGGTCTTCGAGTAATTTATCTGTAGCATTTCCTCTTTACGGTATTGTGCAAGAGAGTGTAAAGCTCTCTTTAGTTCTACTGGTGTCTGTGAGATTAGGACTGCATTGTCTGCGTATAACAGAAGTATGTCTATTGGCTAGTTTGGGGGATGGAACTCTGGATGGCTGAGTGCCATTGCCATTGAGTTGATATAGAAATTAAATAACAATGGAGCTAATATACACCTTTGCTTCACACCATTATAGGTTGGAACTTTATCAGACAAATGTCCTTCCTTGTTGCATCTAATTATGAGTGTTGTATTTTCATGCAGCTTATACGTAAGCAGCAGAATGCATCGATCTATTGTGGAAGACTCTAACTTACTCCAGAGCCTATCTTGTGAAATTAAATCAAAAGCTGATCTAAGATCAATAAAAGCGACAAATAGGGACCCTCGGGGTTTCTTAGAGTACTTATCTACTAGGTGCCTTAAAATAAGGGCATGATCCTGTGTAGGTCTACCAGATCTAAATCCAGCTTGTTCATCTGCCAAAACACTCTTGGAGTCCATCTAATCTATCAATTTACAAGATAAATGTCTAGCATAAAGCTTACTAATTATGGGTTGTAAACTGATTGGCCTATAATTAGCTGGATTGTCTTTCTTACCTTTTTTTATAAATGGGGATAATAATGGCTGTGCCCCATTCCCATGGCATGTGAGCGTTTTGGTCAATATAAATGAAAAACTTTGCCAGAATTGGGGCCCACCATTCACAGTTGTTCTTAATGAGTTTGGGAGGAATACTATCACAACCCGGGGCTTTGCCAATTTTCAGTTGGTTCACCAGGCCATTTATTTCAGAGATTGATACAGGGTGCCATTCTGGTAGATTCATATATAAAGGACTCACATGAAATGAGGGATTGTCTCTTTTGGCATAAAGCTCGTGGAAGTGGGATTCCCACACTCAAGCATTAATATAACAGTCCATCCTAATTGAAAGATTATTGGTAGTTAATGTTATGGACTCCCAAAATGATTTCACATATTTCCCCCTGACTGCTTTGATGAGTTTTTCCCATTTTATCTGTTGAGCTCTCCTTTTTTTCTTTAACTAATTCCTTATAGTCTTTCTTAAGTTGCAGCAGTTCCTCCACTTCGTTTGATGATGGATTTAGATTTTTATTTTTATTTTGTTTAAATTTTGAAATTACCAGTTTTTTTGCATCAATAGACTCTTTATCAAACCAGTTATAGGACCTGTGCTTGATAGTATGAGTTGTTTGAACCAGCTAAATCTACTAGTTTATTTATTAGTGTTTCATACAGTGCAATTATGTTGCTACTTTGGCCTACTTTGAGAAAGGTGGAATGGATCTCAGAGAATTGATTATTATTAAGTTGATTAGTAAAATAAATTGAGGCTTTTCCTGACCATTTGATCCTGGAATTGGTTAGTACCATCTCAGGATTCATAGGCAAGGCCTTCTTAATATGAGTATGGTGTTCTTGTAACTTCAGGTACAACTTTAATGGCAGGTGATCACTATCAATCCTGCTGTCGATCAACAGATTGATGACAGTATTCAGTATGTTACAGCTGACAATCATGTAATCTATGGTACTCATCCTTGTTCCGGACCAGAAAGAGAATTCCCCTGGTATGTCACCTGTAGTGCTTCCGTTCAACATATGTAGGTCAAGCCGATAAACTAGCTGTGCCAAGTTAAGACCTGCATAATTACTGATGGTATCTTTAAATAGGTGCCTAGTGACTATGGGGAAGTGTAGTCCATCAGGGGGGCATAAATTACAAGCAGCATAAACAGCCAAGTCATTTGTACCCAATCTGGCATTAAAATCTCTCCCAATTATCATTTGCTCATTATTAGTTAACAAAAGTTTTTGAATATAGGATTCAAGGTCTTGGTGAATCCATTCGATCTGGGCATTCCATCTCTGCGGTGGTAAATATACACTGATGAACACTCTTACACAGTGATTAAATTTGACCCTCACTGGTGCAGCATATTGCTCAAGGGAGGGAAGTTTGGTCATTGTAATATGGAGTTTAGTTGAAACCAATATAAGAAGGCCGCCCTTAGCTCTGCCTCTCTTTTCACTGGGAGTGGCACTTATTTGATGGGCAGAGTAACCATTTACTTCAATTTCCCCTAGTGCCCAAGTCTCTTGCAGCAGTAAGATATCAAACTTAGAAAGATAGAGGATTGCTCCCAGGGATCAAAGAAGTAAGCCTGCTCAATAAGGGGGGCAAAGCCGTTGATTCAGAAAAAATTATTGAGGGAGTAATCTGAAATTTGCCCAGATAAGTTCTCATTTTTAGGAGAATAAGAGGGATCACAGCATGTTCAAAAGTGAGACAAATTCTTTTATGACCATATTTGTGCGGGAGCCATCGGATATTCTTGAGGTCTATCTTCCGTGCT